GGAGATGGATCAAATGGAGAGACATGGATCAAATGGAGAGACATGGATCAAATAAAGAGACATGGATCAAATGGAGGGACATGGATCAAATGGAGGGACATGGATCAAATGGGGGGGACATGGATCAAATGGAGGGACATGGATCAAATGGAGGGACATGGATCAAATGGAGGGACATGGATCAAATGGAGGGACATGGATCAAAGGAGGGACATGGATCAAGGAGGACATGGATCAAATGGAGGGACATGGATCAAATGGAGGGACATGGATCAAATGGAGGGACATGGATCAAATGGAGGGACATGGATCAAATGGAGGGACATGGATCAAATGGAGGGACATGGATCAAATGGAGAGACTCAAATGGAGAGACATGGATCAAATGGAGGGACATGATCAAATGGAGAGACATGGATCAAATGGAGAGACTCAAATGGAGAGACATGGATCAAATGGAGAGACTTAAATGGAGAGACAGCAAAAGGGAGCGACATAGAGCAAACGGGAGCGGCATAAAGCAAAAGGAAGTGCCAGGGAGAGGAAGAGAGCGACAGAAAACAAAAGGGAGAATGGAATAAAATAGAGCGACAGGAAACAAAATGGAGAATAGGATAAAAAAGAGCGACAGGGAGCGCAAGACATCGACAGGAAGTTCAAGAACGAAAATGAAAGACAGCGACAGGGAGGTAGAGAGCGAGATGGGGCGAAAACTAGACACAGCGACAGGAAGCTAAAGAGCGAGCGGTAGAGAGAGAGGAGCGGGCGGCTGACCTCATTTGCCGAGCCGAGCGCCACTGACCGGAGTGATCAGCTCCTTCATCGGGTGCTGCAGCGTGTGTGCCCCGGACGTCTGGCCTCGCCAGAAGCAGTCCTGGCACAGCTGGTACGCGTTACAGCGCTCGCAGCGGTACTTAAAGCCGGTGAAGCCCGATTTCTCGCAGGCCGCGCACTGCACGCTGTGGTAAACTGAAAGACAGAGCAAGAAAGACTGAAGTAGACTAAAAACTTTTAGAAGCGTCATCATTTTTGTTCACCGGTGGGCCATGGCTAAGAATAAGGCCCCGGGCTAACGCTCCGCTGACTATGAAGACTGCAACGCCTGACACCGAGGTTTTTGCTGCTAACTCTTTTTTTTTGCTGCTCGAGCGCGCGTGTTTAAAAACCGCGGAACATAAATTGCATCACTAATCAATTTTGACCGAATGTTGAACATTTCCAGACGAACATGGCTTGGCCATGTTAATACGCATTGTTGACCACTCGACGTGCAATCAAATTTTCATCTTCAAATTTCGATCAAGCATGTCGATCTACAATCTACCTTTGTAATGTATTTGCTGTCCGTAGAGCCCAATCAAAAATTCTCACAAAGCTTCTGAATTTTATCGGTTTAGAAAGAGTCCACTAAACCGCTATAAGTTTAGAGTGCCGGTGATTTATTCCATGCGGTCGTTCAACGCCTGATATCTGCAGTTTACTGACTTCAACATACAAGCGAAACTGATCGCACGGCAGCTTCTAGTCTCTGTTCTGGTCACGAGGAGAAAATAGCAAGAAAACAAAGAAAGTCATGTCCCTTGTTAACAAGTCAGCTATATCCAGGGGTTTTCTCTTTTGAGAAGGGGTCACCATAGGATGGGCTTTTTCAACCCTCTGTTCCCCCTTGGCAAGGCTCTGGTTGCGTCGCTGCCTGCACACAAAAGCAGATCAAGTCGACTGCGTTGAAAGATGGGCAATTGAGTGTCCCTTGGGCCAATTGATACGTAAGGCAGGCAGCTTCTCAGAGCCTTTTTCTGCAGTGGTGTGATATGCGGGAAGATAATTCGGAATACTGTTGCGGTGCCCAACATGTGTTTTACACACCAATCAGTGGTGATACTGATCCAGAAATATGCAATAAAGCAGCCATACGATCAGTTCGCAGTCAGTCATGCGGCAGACAGCCGGGCCAGGGCAGTGGCCGCCGACGGCGGACGGGAGCAGGGCCCACATAAGGAACATATGACAGAACAACCTTCATTCTGCGGCTTGGTTTTTAAAGGAGAATTTCCAGTCTTATGGCTGTTGTCACCTTTTTTGGCAGGTACAAGCTTCCGAAATTGTTAACGCTTCAAATGCTGCGACAAGTCTCATTTCTTGAAAAGTAGCCAGCAAAATGAAGGCTCATGAAAAACCTGTCGCACTGTGAGCCATCGATTCACTTTAAAAATTCTCACCACCCTATATCCAGGCCGTCTTTTGCCACCTACCATGTGGAGGCAGATGCCTCCTCAATGACCCAAAATGCCTACCCGGTCATGGAATTTCGCCTTTTCAGGAAAAACAATGTTGAAATGGACGAATAATCCTGGGAAGCTGGACAGCTTCATTTGCTGAATGACATAGATGAGTCGAATAGGCAAGGTTGTGCACCAGCTCAAGATGCATATCTAGCATAGCAGCCGTGACATTTAAATAAAGAGCGAAAACAACCTCCATCTTTACCCCCTCCCCCCTCCCCATCACCGGGCTTACTTTCCAGAAAAAGTACTGAAGTACGCCCCGAGCTTAGCCCCCCTCACACTTAATGAAACGTTCTCACACCTGTGCGTTGCTTCCTGAGACTACTGACTGCATGATGTGTCATGTTTTTTAACTAAGCAGGGTGCGTTTTGTTAATTTCCATACGTGCACATGTGATCTAAAATAAATAGAACTTGATTGATGAGGTCGACGACCGCCAACATAACAGGCTGTAGATGTTGGATATCGCAAGTTAAGTTCGCCGAATTGAAAGGTCCAGCCAAGAAAGCTGAGAAAGCGAAGAAGCACCTCTATAGCAAAGACAGTCTGGACACGGTAGCACAAATTTGGCACAAAATCCACCAATTCAGCACGGATACTGAGCCACGTGAATATGAGCACAGTTAAGACAACTGAGTCACGTGGGCACTCATTTACTGTAGTAAAATGGATGAAACATGGCCAGACCACTGCAGCACACAGCTGTAGCATAACACCACCGCTACAGAGCGGGGGGAGAGGTAAACATCGCATTTCCCCGGGCACAGTGGCTAATGCATGACAGCATCACTGAAGGAGGACGGCCGACACGATAAATACACTGTTAACAATGCGGCAGCAGTACTTGTGACCGACAGCACGCAGCACAGCAGCAGGACAGCTCGCTATCTTCAGGGGCGCTGGCACATCACGACGGCGGGGGCAGCCCCGAGGTTGTGAAATTTAAGGGAGCGCTCTCTCTCTCTCTCTCTCTCTCTCTCTCTCTCTCTCTCTCTCTCTCTCTCTCTCTCTCTCTCTCTCTCTCTCTCTCTCTCTCTCTCTCTTTCACATTACTGGAGTAGGCACTTCATCGGCCTTCACAGCATCCATCCCGTGCCTGGCAGCGGCAGCGTCTCACCTGTCTCCACGGTGGCCATCCTGTGCAGCAAGGGCAGCCAGGCCAGGCACTCGGGGCCCGCCTCCGACAGCATCGTCTCAAGGAAGTCGTTAACGTTGACGGTGGTCTGCGGGAGAATGCAAAGACGCGTCATCGGCGCCCCAGACGTCATCGGGCGCCGGAATGACGAGGCGCGCCTGATGTCTCCCGCCCGTCGCGCCGTTCCCGGCTCGATGGGCCCGGGCACCGCAAAGGCCCTCTAGCATCGCATCATACAGCGCCCCGTCGTTCATGACAAAATATGACTGCGTCCGACACGGACAGCCCGCCCGATTCGCTGCCTTAACAACGCCCCGGGGTCTCCCAGGCCGCGACCACGCTCCGTGAGATCGAGGTTTGCGGGCAGAAGCCATCAGTCAAGCTGCCTCCTGGCATCGGTGCCCAGAAGACGTGCGGCTCCTGGAGTTTACAGCGGCGCCAAGTCCCACATGGCCAGCCCCGCTCTCAACCCCAGCTAGCAACAGCACGCCATGGACGCAGCGACGCGTTCGTTTCCCGAGCGGCGGCCGGAAGTAGCCGGCGAATGAAAGCCATGCGTTCGGAACCCAATCAGAGCGACGCCCCGTGTTGCACCAGGGACGTGGCTTCGGCAGACCGGCGGCTGGCGGGAGCACGATCGATACGGGGCCGGAGCACAGCGTGGGCGCCGCTGAGGCCACGCTGAACGCCGCCCCAGCCGACAGCCGTCAAACCAGCGCTGCGGCCACGCTGAACGCCGTCCCAACCGTCAGCCGTCAGACCAGCACCGCGGCCACGCTGAACGCCGCCCCAGCCGACAACCGTCAAACCAGCGCTGCGGCCACGCTGAACGCCGTCACAACCGCCAGCCGTCAGACCAGCGCTGCGGCACGCTGAACGCCGCCCCAGCCGACAGCCGTCAAACCAGCGCTGCGGCCACGCTAAACGCCGTCACAACCGCCAGCCGTCAGACCAGCGCTGCGGCACGCTGAACGCCGTCCCAGCCGGCAGCCGTCAAACCAGCTGCCCGAAAGTCGTCCGTCATACAGGGCCTTTCTCCACCTATTTGAAGAGGTGGATGCCAGACGCGATGTCTGGTTCGCGTTGACGTCAGTGATGCTGATGTTGGACCTACAGCTAGGACACTGGTGTCGCCGCTGGTTTCAGCCAGTTCTGAATTTCCTACAGCGTGCAACCGTTGCCTCGTCGCTCCATACGCAGCGAAACTGGCAACACGAGTTACGGTTACCTTACGGGATCGCAGGCTATGTCCACGTGACCTTGTTTCGTTTGTGATCTGTTAGATATATGGATCTATTAGACATGTAGATTGATATTAGACCATTCGTCCCTGCCTATTAGACGGCGAACCACTTAGGGTTTCGACAACAGATACGTCACCCCGGGTGTAAGAACCCGAGGCCGATCAAAATCATTTCAATTCGATTTATCCTGGAACGAGCAAATCATTCTTACTTCAAAGAGCAGCTTCCAAACGCAAAAATTACCAAGCGAAGGAAATATTTTCAAAACCGTGTCTTTCCATCGAGCCTTACGCTACGACCTCAAAGGGAGTGTTCAACATTAATATGGGGCTTTGAACTGAAATGGCCATCTTAAAGACCTTACGGTGCTGTTCACAATCCTGCCCTTCTTAAGACTTGAGCCCCTTTAGTTTCTGAGCTATACCCCCGCGGGAATGGGGAAACGTATATCGGGGAGAGTATTTCAAAGTCAACTTGGCATTCAGGACGTCATAATAACGTCATTCAAATCTCGTCATCCCATAACCATGCGGCGGTCACGGCCAAGAAAGATATCGTTGTTAAGGCGTTCGTATTTGGCGTCCGTAAGCGCGATTTCCGGATACAACAGCCATCAGTTGGCTCTTAATCAATGTTGTGCCATGCGCGATCACGTATCAAACAATGACGTCCTGAAAAAGCACAATTACTAAGCAGAGTAAATGTGTTGTCTAGATCAGTCTTTTCCATTCAACCCTATGCCGATGGCAATATATGAGCTTATTTCATCATACCTGATGCTTGCTTCAATATCTTCAAATGTGGACCATTCCCCTGAGCAAAAGTGATGATTCCAAATATTCAGGTGAGTCAGAAATTTTCAGAAAAATAGTCAAGTCAACTCAACTTAAATTTAATGACGACTCTTCACTCAAAACAAGCTTTAATAATCACACCACTAGGACTATGATGCTGATAAAGAAATGGGTTTTAGGCCGCACGATCTGGCTGGCCGTAACGTATCCATTTCCAGATGATCAGAATAAAAACAGAAAAAAGGAAATCAAAAGGGAAAGGCTCGCGTGGCGTTTATCGTCATAAGCCAGGCAGCCCGCTGCTTCAGATTCGTACCTAGACCGCATGGGAGGGGGGGGGGGGGGGCGCATGCCTCCGCCTTGTTAAAGCCGAGGATGAGCGCGCCCTGGGTTCACGTGCTGGCCTGGCCAGGAGTCTTGACGATCGAGCTCCCATCCGCTCTCCGATCAAACTAGGCGTCCAACTTGGACAGCCAGCACCGAGCCGTGCGCTGAGCCAGCTCTCCGTGTCAATGCCACACGCTATGCGTGGTGCGCCGTATCACGTGCGTCATGTAATCAAGAGTTTTGTGTTCTCACTCGGCAAGTCTTGGCTTTCTCACATTTGCTTTCAGTCTCAAGGCTGCCCGACTTTTATCACGAGATGCTGCCGATGTAGTTGAAATATCGATGTGAATTAAATAGCGTTTCAGTTTTGGCCTCCAGCGACGGTGGCAACCTGTCTCCGTGCGGCCTAAAGCAGACAGGTCCCGGAACAGCACGGCACCAATCATATCTTGAACGAACGGTGTAAGGTTGTTCCAACTTCAATATCCAACAAACTAATTCACTATGAAGAGGCTCATCAGTCGACCAAAACACGCATGCATCAAATGTCAATAGGACGAAGTTGACCCCGGTTTCAAACGTACGTATATGGAGTCTAAAACAGCACATTGTGCGTCCAATTGGGGCATCCCTTTTTAGCCGGCCGGCCAGACACTGAAAGGGACAGCGACTCAACACGGAAAGACACCCACCATGTTCTGCTCGCATGTTCGACAACCACATAATGCATTAGCACAAAAAGACATGCTGGGAAAGACAAGAGGGGCCTCCATACGGCGTGTCACCCGCTCATCGCGCGGTGCCAATGTACTGAACGCCTCCATACGGCTTATCACCGCTCATCGCGGTGACCATGTACTGAACGCCTCCATACGGTTTGTCATCCGCTCATCGCGATGGCCATGTACTGAACGCCTCCATACGGTTTGTCATCCGCTCATCGCGGTGGCCATGTACTGAACGCCTCCATACGGCTTATCACCCGCTCATCGCGGCGGCCATGTACTGAACGCCTCCATACGGTTTGTCATCCGCTCATCACGATGGCCATGTACTGAGCGCCTCCATACGGCTTATCACCCGCTCATCGCGGTGGCCATGTACTGAACGCCTCCATACGGTTTGTCATCCGCTCATCGCGGTGGCCATGTACTGAGCGCCTCCATACGGCTTATCACCCGCTCATCGCGGTGGCCATGTACTGAACGCTTCCATACGGTTTGTCATCCGCTCATCGCATCACCCGCTCATCGGACAAAAGTCAGGAAAACCGGCGTGTCGGCTCGAAAATTTTTGATGCACGTAAAATGCAGCGTTGCCATGTCGTCACTGGTTTTATCAGCACGATCTCTTTCGCCTGGTTCACAAGGCACATATTTGCCCTGTCAGCAAGACACCGTTGTCTGAAATAAATCGCAGACACACACAAAGGAAGGTTGCGCTGTCAACCACACCCAGAATCCTTTTTTAAATAAGGTTTGAAATACTGGAAAGCGACATGTCAATTTCGGCTGTCGACTTCTATAATTTCTGCTCTGGGGTGCCGGTAGTGTAATGGTTAGCGCGTTTGCGTTAACCGCTGCGCGTCTGGAAAACCAGAGGTACGGGGTTCGATTCCCCGTGGTGCCCGCCCCTCCTGTCACGCTGAGAGGCAGGCGACGCTACATGGCCTCAGCAGCTGAGTGCGTCGTAAAGCCCCAATGCCATATAAGTTCTGCTGCACTGAACACGTCCCCGCCACCTTGCCTTGCAAAAGCCCGTGTCACCGTTTTTTCATCGCGATTTGCTTTTTTAATTGGCGTTACAAAGTTATGCCGCTGATAAAGTGGGAAAGGCATTATGGAGAGGAGGCGCTATTCATCAGTAATATCCATACATATAGCGTGCACGCGACAGAGACAGATGTACCTTTGCCATGTCATACTTTACCGAAGCTCTGTCAATAGTAAGCACATTGGAATCATACATAAGCCGACACAAAGTCGCGCAACGCCATCGGCCTTCGTCGCCCCCCCCCCCCCCCCCCCAGCCGCGAACGCAGGCCGCCGGCGTCCCAGAGCGCCCCACTCCAGCGGCGAGCGGGACGCCGACCGGCGGATTAGGCGACCGACCGCTCCATCCGACCGGCACCCGTGCTCGAGACCGAACCACCGGCGACGGGCGCGGCCCGGACCGGCGACCGACCGCTCCGTCCGACCGGCACTCGTGCTCGAGACCGAACCACCGGCGACGGGCGCGGCCCGGACCGGCGACCGACCGCTCCGTCCGACCGGCACTCGTGCTCGAGACCGAACCACCGGCGACGGGCGCGGCCCGGACCGGCGACCGACCGCTCCGTCCGACCGGCACTCGTGCTCGAGGCCGAACCACCGGCGACGAACGCAGCCCGGACCGGCGACCGACCGCTCCGCCCGACCGGCACTCGTGCTCGAGGCCGAACCACCGGCAGCGTGCAGGCTTCCCCCGTACGGTCTCAAAACACTTCGGGCCATTTCCGAGCCTTGGGTCCTTGTTAGGAAAAAGTCAGAGGGTAAAGAGGTCGGCTGAAAGCTTTCGGCGCAGAGACGAGTGGGAGGAGATCCCACGAACGGGAGAAATTTCGGCTAAAAGCCTATACCGAAAGGTAGCAACGTCTTGGTTAGAAATGGCTGGCGGTAGGCAGGTGGTAGGCAGGTGGTAGGCAGGTGGTAGGCAGGTGGTAGGCAGGTGATAGGCAGGTGGTCGAGAGGAAATGGCAATGGCTGCACTAGTTCGACTTAAAGCCAAGAAGCCGCTGCAAATTGGCAGTCGCCTATCTGTCTTGGCAACGATGAAGTCGCGCACAAGCCATCCTTGGGTAGACGATGTTTCTTCAGTCTGTGTCAGCACGTAGTAGATACATGACAGATAACAGACACGTCTCATGGAGGCTTCCTCCCTCGACAGCTGTGTTCCATCAAAAGACAGTATGGTCATCGCTATCGAAACCAGACTTTTTGCAAGAAGTACCTCCAACCAGCCAGATGGTTAACTAAGAACGGTCACGCAAAACCAAGCCCCCGCGATGCGCGAGCGAGTGCGCAGACCAAAACGGCGACCCACACGCCCAATAATACCGAGGCCGCTCCCCGGGGCGGCCGAACACCACCTCAGGCCTCGCACCCCACGCTCTCACCCAACTCGCCACCGCCCGAGCCGGGCCATCCCAACACAATCAGGTCAAGACGATCATAACAACGGCCGGGAGGCGGCGCGTCGGTGACACGGTCTGGCGCGTCCCCACTCGGTCCCGCATCTGGGGCCCACCCCCGACACGGCGCAATAAGCTAATGCGCCGGGCGGCGCCGGCCTTGCACAGACGCCGCCCGTGCGCCGCCGAGCGCCGCTCTCAGCAGAGCCCGACCGACGCCGGCTGCCACTCGGCAGGGCGCTGAGTGGCAGCCAGCACCGCAGCACGACGCTGTGTGGTGGCCGCGCCGACCCGCCACGTCTCACCGCGGGCGAGAGCTGATTGGGGCTGCGGCGGCTGGTCCAGCCCTACCGCGTATCGCCAGGTTGACAAAGATTCAAAGCTGGGGGGGGGGGGGGGGATAAGATCGGAACCATAGCACTTGGCACCCCAATCAGCGAATTGAAACCGCGTATCAGTCGGTACGGAGCTGCTAGGTGAGACAACACACTCAATCAACCAATTCACCCCGCAGATCATCCAGAGGAAACTCACAACTCCAGCTCCACACCAGACAATCCACAAATGCACTCGGCACGCATAAATTCCACTCGACTATTCATCAAAGGGCTCGGGGCCCAGCCAAATCTGCACTCGAATAGAGCGAATCTCGGAGCCGGACGCTTCGAGTCTTTTGAAGACGCTGCGGAACGCTCGCAAGACTCCACGAGCGGCGACCGATCCACGAGCGGCGAGCAGCAACCAATCACATGCAGGCCTGACGTCTTACTGACCTCCCGCTGGCCCAGACTCGACTCGGCCGACGGTCAGAGCGCGCCCGGCCACCTCCGGACTGCACCGGGGACACCTGCTGCTTGATTTCCAGCTTGATTAGTACAGCGGCCACCCAGTTAAGCCGCGGGTATTTATCAAGGTCGACTGCACGGTTCGCTTAAGAGTCCGATACACATCGTGCACAAAACTGGTTCGACTAGCAAAAAGTCATACCTGAACATGAATAGAAACGATGAATAGCTTACTCCTCATTATGTAACTATTATCGAGTGTTTGAGCAGTCACCTTAGCTTGAGTGACATAACACAGAAACAGTACAATTGCGCAATGCTTCGGTGAAAACGAACCCTCATTCTTTATCTTAAAGTGACAATAAAATCGCACTTGTCTTTTCTACGGCTTGTTTGTCCTCGCGCAGATTTAGCCATGAAGCAGCCTTCATCTAAACTGTACTGCTAAATGTAGATATATAGCACTTAGGTACGCATCTTCGAGCGCACATGCATAACAAATGGGATACTCAACACGTTCTCGCATAACTTACAGAAGTGCCGATATACTGCCGTCATTTGGCCTGCAACGTCATGTCGGAGAACCCCGAAAGTAAAATCCACTGTTTCTCAGTAACATATTTCAAGGCAACTACATCCACGCGTCAAAGAAGTGTCAACTTACACGGAGGCGCCAGCAGAGCTGCCTTCGTAACTGGCACCGCTGCACGCCTCAGATAGTGCAAGGTCCGAACCTGCACCACCTGCTATAAGACCGTGCAGCCAAACCAGTGCAATCGAGCACCCACACCCACACCCACACCCACACACTGTATGAGCTCAAGGTCATTCTCAGGACTTTCGTTGTTAATGAGCATCAGATGACCTCACGCTACCCTTTGAATGTAAATACATGCTTAAAGTTTCAACGTAACCCTAGTTCACCCTGCGAACATCTGGAAAGTTCCGTAGACACGGCTTATCATTATTCGACATGGCATCACACGGCCTCTACAGATATACTCAACCAGCATCCACTGGCAGACGACGCACTGCACGTCCGCACATTGTACAGGCTTCATCCACTGCACCCGTTCCAGGCTTCACCCCACCACACTCGGTGTGTGGTGTCAACAAAGGGTCGTCCCCCGCCCCTACGCTGACGGAAGTGACAAAACCGCGCAAGTTCACGAACCACCCCGGACTGGAGCCGAGCGGCACCCACCGAAGGGAAGATGAGCCGGGCCGCGTCGTCACTGAAGGAGAAGGTGGGGCTCTCGAAGACGGCGGCCGGCAGCGCCTGCACCTCGCGCAGGTACTCTGAGAAGCGGCGCGACGCCAGCTGCCCGTTGCCGTCCGAGATCTGCGAGAACACGTCTGAAACGGCGACAGGACAGGTGACGGCAGGGCGGCGGACGGGCTGGCGCAGTTCACACGGCGCTCAGCTCTCAGTCGTGGGGATGGCACGGCGGCGAACAGCATGCAGCGGGTCCGAGACGGCGGCGGAGGAGGAGGAGCCGGCGGCCGGGTATGTGGTGCCATCCGTTGACGCTTCGTCAGCCGGCTGGGTTGAGAGGGCTGCCGCCTGCAGCGTCAGCATCATGTGTACCGCCATGCTAATACACACTAGCAAATCATATTTAATGTCACGCAACCTCATACCAACAAAACCACCCCGCTGCCGACCGCGCCCGGCTCTGTGCGCCGGGCCAGTCTTATCTCGAAAGCCGCCATGTGAACTGTGTTTTTCTCCTCCTGAAAGACGTCATGTTACGTGGACCAAAGTTCTTCTAAAAGCCGCCGTGGTGACACCAGTGAGCTTTAGCTCTGCCCGTCTGCCTCAAAATATACAGCAAGACGAACGGTCTCCTTTTGGGCAAATACGCAAGACCTGAACCGAGTCACATTAATAGAGCGATAGCACGTGGACGCACAACAGGTGCACAGGCGGGGCGGGGCGGGGCGAGGCCGGTTGCGGCGGGGACGGGCCGCAGCCAGCGGCCGAATCGTGGACCCTGACCGCCAGCTCGGATGTCTGTGCCGGACATCGGAGTTGGCGGTCGGGTGGCCGGGGTGGCTCGCAGCTCTGGATGGCATACCGTCAGCATCTGCCGACTGGACGTTATACGAGGCGGCCGCCCCGCCACAATGCGTCGCTCGCCGTCAGACCGCAACGCGGGCCAGCGCCGACGCCGTCGTTCCCACCGACCGAAGAAGCCATCCCGGCGCCGTCCGCCGCCTCACCACGAGCGGGCATCGCCAGCAGCCTGGCCGGCGGACGGAGCGCAGTCCGGCGGACTCGGCCTGTTGCCCCCGCGGCCGCGGTCAGGCCGGGCCTGACTGCAGCCGCGGCGTGTACGACTGCCGCTCCCGCACGCCTCGAGCACGCCCACGAGGCGCTATCGGGCCATATGCCCGGCACGAGAGGGGCTGCCGCTGAACGCGACACCCATCGTTCTATCCATCTTCGGAGCGGGGCCGTTCGTGCTAGCCGTCAGGACGCGGCCAGGTGGCTATTATGTCTCGTAATCGATACGCGGCGAAAAACGGACGCACGCACGAGCGGCCGCCAGCCGGCGGACGGGGCGCGTCGGCGGCGCTCGGCCAGCTGAGGCTGATACGAGGTCGTCGGCAGCGGCCGCCGCCGCCGCGGCGCAAACATACCGATCCCTCGCCGGCCGCGCCCGATCCGCGCCGTTCGTCTTGCTTGGCGCGCCGCCGGATCGCCGAACAATGGGCGACTCGCGCGGTGTTCGTTGCACACAAAGACGGGGGGACGCGGCGCGGTGGCGAGCCCCCCCCCCCCCCCCCCCCTCTCGACTCAGCCCCGTCCGCGCCGTCGCTGCAGGCGAGCTCACCAGCTGGCCGTTTGCGAACCCGGCACAAGGTGATAAGACGAAATAAGTCGAGGTGCTGAGGCCGCGGGCGCCTGGCGCGGGCCGACGCCACGCTGACAGCGGCGACACAATCGGGCAGGAGCCGGCCGACAAACAGGCTTTAGCATGCCACCCGTAAAGCCCGCTAAATGCCAGGCCGACGGCATAAGCATCGCAAGTCGGCTTTACGGAGATAAAGAGCTCGCAACAGAAACATTCTGTAGGCATGCGACGCACGTGAGTAAATAAGTGCTGAATGTCAGATGACAGAAACCAAATGGCATGGCACGAGACATGTGCCACTGGCGTTAACGTTCTGTAGGGGACTTACCTCGGCGATACTTTATTTCATCTGGCTTAACTTTTGTTGTAAGCTCAGGCAAAACAAAAGATTAATTTTGGAAGAAAGCAGTGATAGGCCAAACTACCATATCCCACAATCACGCGAGTTTCATTTCCCTCACAACATCCGGATGAGTAAACACTGGGAATTTCATCTGGAAAGACAGCGCTGAATTGGGCGTCCATCCCTGTTGACTTCAGAGAAACACACATTTACGCAGGCTATCTTCTTGACAGAATGAGTTGCCGCTACAAATGAGCTCTGGCGAGCCCAATGGCTTAGAAGCAGCTCCGCCAAGACCTCGCTTCCCGCGCGACGACACAATCAGCTCCTGGACTGGCATTCATCCAGAGCGCGACGACCACAGGTGAAATATTGTTTTATCCACAGGTTCTGTTAATATTTTTTGTTTTGTTCGTGCGAAAACGCCACAGAATATAGGCTCGAATATGGTCGTACGATGACACTCAACACAAAGAATACACGTGCTTTCACCTAAGCTTTCCGGAGGTACTGTGCCCCTTATGCAAGCCAACTGCAGAGCGGGGAGTAATGATTACGTTCTTCTGGTTGGCACCCAGTACCAGCTTCTAGTGTCCACTTACAGCGTAATTTGTCCGTGATCTTGCCCGAGCAGAGTGTCGCCATGGCTATCTTGATGGAGAACACCCGCACCGAGCCCACGTCATCCCTGGAAGGGGACGCACGTCAGCTAAGCACAGGCACCAAGCCCACGTCATTCCTGGAATGGGACGCACATCACCTCAGTGCGGGCATCAACCCCACGTCATTCCTGGAACGGGACGCACGTCAGTTCATCAGTACGGGCACCAAGCCCACGTCATCCCTGGAGCCCAGTGTACGTCAGTATGATGCATGCACCGAGCAGACACCCTCACTGGATCGCAGAGACTTCCGTCGGACAACCGCACGCGGCGAACTCCGACAGCTGACGCGGCGTCACACGTCTCAAACCACATGTCGTGCCTGGAGGCACACAATTTGGCGGTCGCCACTCAAACCCAGCTTGGGCAAGGCAGTCGGACGGGCCTCGGCTCCTCTCGCCCTCTCTCGCTCTCTCAGCCCCGGTATAGACCAGCTGAGGACGCAACGGCGGCCAGGCGGGGCAGCACCCGCTCGGCCGGACAGGCCTCGGCTCTCTCGTCCCCTCTCGCTCTCTCAGCCCCGATATAGACCAGCTGAGGACGCAACAGCGGCCAGGCGGGGCAGCACCCGTTCGGCCGGACAGGCATCGGCTATCTCACCCCCGATATAGACCAGATGAGGACGCAACAGAGGCCAGGCAGGGCAGCACCCGTTCGGCCGGACAGGCATCGGCTCTCTCAGCCCCGATGTAGACCAGCTGAGGACGCAACAGCGGCCAAGCGGGGCAGCACCCGCTCAGCCGGACAGGCCTCGGCTCTCTCGCCCTCTCTCGCTCTCTCAGCCCGATATACACCAGCTGAGGACGCAACAGCGGCCAAGCGGGGCAGCAACCGCTCGGCCGGACAGGTCACGGCACAGACGGACGACGCATCGGCCGGCCGACTCCGGCCCACTCCTAGGCCGGACCGCGAGACAGCACGGCGAACGCAGCCGTCGCGTCACTGGAATCGCCGCCGGGAACTTACGCATCAACGACAGTCGAAATGGTCTAAATAGGTATGGTGAGGGTTGGGATTTGGGCTCTGTCGTATACGGTTTTACTCATAGTTGAAACTCAACATTACATGACATCTGGCTTACGCCTGTGAACACAAGAATACGTGACTGACCCTGTCATTCTCTCATGACCTCTGAATACCACATCTAAAATGCCTCGGGCCTTTACATCAGGCGATAGCAGAACTAGTGCACTGTTCCCTCGAATGAAGAATCCTGTATTTACGGGACGCCAGGGACGCTAGGGAAACGATCCTAACTACCGGTGGTGTTCGGTGAGATTCGGTGGTGTCCGAGACGCAATACACAGGCGTCTTGTGCCCTCACAAGACATTTTAGAGATAGCGTGACACAATATGGGCACCGGTACACCAGGGAGACGAGTTAGAAACAAGTCAAACATGAACGGACATCAACACGTCTTTGCTCCGCCGAACGGCACCAGCGGAACTGGCGAGGGTTCGACGGCGCGCTGCCCCCTCTCACAGGTCGTATGTGGTGAGCAGGAAGCTGAGCACGGTGTTGACGGCCGCGTCCAAGTTGATTTGATGCTGCAGCGGCAGTCGCTTGTTCAGCGCCAGGTACAGTGACGTCAGCAGCGTGTCCAGCCGGGACGAGTTCACCGCCGTCTGCGGCTCCAGCGTGTTCAGACCGTTCTCCCGGAACGCCTCGATCACGTTCCATATGTCGATCAGGTGGACTGCAACGGAACGGGGCGCGTTCAGTACACGCGACGGCGAAGCCAGCTTGGCAGACGTCCACAACGGCGTGTTGAAGCACATCAGGAACTGGTGGAACAAACCTACAACTCGTGGGTGGATATTCGTGCTGCCCCATAGCGGGATTTTTCTGCTTGGTGCTGTGTTGGCCAAAGCTTCATACATGCGTATACTGACACCAGAGTTAAACCGCGATGGTTTTCTTTCTACAACACCCCTGATGTAATGTCTAGAACATTCGCTTGCTGCCAGGGTCCTCAGCAGCAGCAGCGTGCATACGGAGGTTCTGTCCCGATCAATGAACAGACGACTACACCCGGTGATTCATAGCGACGCCGCACTCCCGGGAAGGGTTACCGACCCCGAGCGCCATTTTAGGGCCAACTATGCCCGAAGACAGACGCTGAATGATGCCGCTTCAATCCTCTGACAAGGCGATCGCTTCCAAGTTTCAGCTATCATCTAAGTTGGGGCCGGTCGAAGAAAAGCTCGAATCATATTCCTCCAACGTACTACAGCACGTGTAGGGGCTCACGGTGGTATCAAAGTGGTCAGAAACATGCACAATTTATATTCCATTACAGCGCAGCGTTTGTGCATATAAGCTGGAAAAGCTTAACTTTGGCTAGCACCCTGCTGTTCCAACCAGCCGCGCCACAGCCGACCGCACGCCGCCAACGATGGCGCCCGAGGGCCGGCCACGGCGGCGGGGAAGGTCAAGCGGCGGAGGAGGCTTGCCCAGACCCTGACACCTCGCCTGCCTCCCCGGACCCTGACACCTCGCCTGCCTCCCCGGACCCTGACACTGCGCCTGCCTCCCCGGACCCTGACACCTCGCCTGCCTCCCCGGACCCTGACACTGCGCCTGCCTCCCCGGACCCTGACACCTCGCCTGCCTCCCCGGACCCTGACACATGCGCCTGCTCCCCGGACCCTGACACCTCGCCTGCCTTCCCCGGACCCCGACACCCCGCCTGTCTCCCGACCCTGACACCCCGCCTGCCTTCCGACCCTGACACTGCCCTGCCTCCCCGGACCCTGACACTGCGCCTGCCTTCCCCGGACCCTGACACCCCGCCTGCCTCTCCGACCCTGACACCCCGCCTGCCTTCCCCGGACCTGACACCCCGCCTGCCTTCCCCCGGACCCTGACACCCCCGCCTGCCTCCACGGACCCCCTGACACCCCGCCTGCCTTCCCCCGGACCCCTGACACCCCGCCTGCCTCCCCCGGACCCTGACACCCAGCCTGCCTCCCCGGACCCTGACACCCCGCCTGCCTTCCCCGGACCTGACACCCCGCATGCCTCCCCGGACCCTGACACCCCGCCTGCCTCCCCGGACCCTGACACCCCGCCTGCCTTCTCCGGATCCTGACCACTGCGCCTGCCTCCCCGGACCCTGACACCCCCGCCTGCCTCCCCGGACCCTGACATCCCGCCTGCCTCCCCCGGACCATGACACATCGCCTGCCTCCCCGGACCCTGACACCCTCGCCTGCCTCCCCCGGACCCCGACACATCGCCTGCCTCCCCCGGACTGGAAATTTTGGCCCCCGCTCTCCCGCCCCTCGGACCCGGACATTAAAGCATACCTTGTGTCAGCCACAACGCGGCTCCGCCAACCCACAAGCGAAACAAAGCACAGGAAAGGAGTCCCACAGGCACTCGACGGAACCAAGGCGCTGCGGTGATCAGGCGCAGAGGCGGACGCATCGGCCGCAGGACCACCCAACCACTTGTCGTGCCCAGCCGCGGAAGACCATTAACGGACACGGGACCCATCGACCTGCCTCAGACGCAGACGCAGACAGACGCAGAGGTTTGCCAGCGGATAACAAACTGATTGACCTGAAGCGCTCAGGTCCGGACGATCACCAGCGGACACAAGATCGGCCAATTTTCCGTGTCTCGTGCTCACACCGACACACATCCGGGTCTGAATGAAAGGGAAGTACGTCACGTGCCGGGAAGTGTGTGTGTGTGTGTGCAGGGGGGGGGGAGACAGTCAGCAAAGGGGGTCGGCCAGCCGGCTTTACAATCTGTTCAGGGTCAGTAACGAACGTCGTCGAACACTATGCACACTATGAATCGTGAAAAATGCCTAATGATGTCTGATTACAAAGACAGAAGATTCCAACGACGCATCTTAACGACTTCCGGGACCAGGTCGGTCGATGTCATACCCAAGGGCAGTCAACTCAGGTTACATTCGACGTTTAACTTGCAACTTTAACATTCGATTAAGTTGGATGACCTTATGTTAAGGTAACCCAGCCCTCACATGTCTCTGTTGACTAGATATAAGGCCACGCCTCATCGCGTGATACTGTTTTGGGTCAGACCCACTAATCGCTTCGGAGGCGACAACAACAATGCGTGACGAACGCTGCGGTTACCGAAGAAACACAGTTCTTCCCTGGAACCAGGTCAATAGGGGATGATAACTCAATGTGTAACACGAATCCAGCCAAAATGAAAGCAGATCTACATCATTTCTTGAAAGCGGCGTGAAAACAGCGCATCAACCCGTACATAGACTGCCCGCAGCTCCCCTTTCGGCAGCTGCAGACCAGCTATTCTGTCGGCACCAGCAACCCAGCTCCTCCGTCGGCAGCTGCAGACCAGCTCCACTTTCGGCACCTACGGACCAGCTGCTCTATATACATCTGCAGAGCACCTCCTTTGTCGGCAGCTACAATGTATCAGTGTGCATAGCTGAGAACCAATCCTCTATCGGCAGCAGCCGCTATTTCTACAAAGCCAATCAATCTCACGATAAGCCGTATGGAGTAAAAACGGACACACCAATTACGGAGCGCACCGAAGCTGCGCAGCGCCAAAGGGCGGCTGCCCCGTGCCGTCTGCTGCCCGCAGCTGACCACAAGGGGTAGCCGAGGCAGTCTGCTGTCCGCGGATGACCACAAGGGGCAGCCGAGGTAGTCTGCTGCCCGCGGATGACCACAAGGGGCAGCCGAGGTAGTCTGCTGTCCAAGGATGGCCACCAGGGGCAGCCGAGGTAGTCCGCTGCCCGCGGATGACCACAAGGGGTAGCCGAGGCAGTCTGCTGCCCGCGGATGACCACAAGGGGCAGCCGAGGTAGTCTGCTGTCCAAGGATGGCCACCAGGGGCAGCCGAGGTAGTCCGCTGCCCGCGGATGACCACAAGGAAGGTAGCCGCCGCTGACGCTTGGGCCGGCTCAGGTGGCAGCCGCGAGCGGCGCCCCAACCCGGCCAATTTAACCGACCAATCCATTATGACCTGCCCGCGGCAGCCTGCAGATATGGCGGGCTTGGCTATGATGACATGCAGCAATCGTCCGCTGTATCAAGCGGGCATGCCGCGGACAGGCTGCCAAATGATTTATTGATAGGACGATTCAGTACAGTCGGAGTCAATCCAACGCTGACGCTGTCGTCAACGGACCGCATCTCCACCAAGACCAAGAGACCAGGATATACTCAGGGAAGCAGCTGTGAATGCCGGGAGCATGGAAATCCAAACGCGCGCCAGCCACGTGTTCTGGCTGTTAGGTGGTGTCCCTCAATCGCGGGGGATCTGCACATGCCGTGCCGCGCGGCCGCCGACGGCGGGAGCTGCAGCCGGCCGGTGCTTGTGTTCGAGCCGCGGGGTATGTTCGGCGGCGGCGCGGTGTCGGCCGGCCGGTGGCGTCGCCCGGCTCTTGAACGCCAGCGCTCAGCCAGCGAACGTGTTCGAGACCTGCTGCCGCCTGCACACACCTGCACTGATTCGCTCAGACTCCCACAGCCCGATCCCTGCAGCGCTGACAGACGGACAAACTGCAAGGCCAAAGTGCAAGTGCACGGACGGAGAAAGTGCAAAGTGCACGACATGGCATGGCGAGGGCAGATCAGAGGTCAGAGCCAAAAGACATTTCGTGTGTTCGTTCAAAGGACACTTCTCGGTAGCTCATTAAAATGAACGAGGCAGTGCGGCTGAAGCCAGCACCACAGCATCCAATGGAACGAAGATTTTATCCAAAGGTGCCACGATGAATATTCCTTAGCCAGCCTGAGGCAAAACACGGGCGCATAGCTTTGGATAAGGCTGACTGCGATTAACAGTGATTGTGATGTCTCCACTTAAATGTACATCACTTAAAGGATTGTTCCTAAACGACCGCCCATATTGTGAAACGTTGAAAAGCTTTTAAATACAGCACTCAAGAGAGTTCTTTCCACAATGCGTATACTGTTTTCGCCCGTTCTCCATAATTTGTAGAATTGCAGCCCGTGGACAGGAGGACCCGGGAGTGCACCGTCGCAGCCGTGACACTCCAGTCAATAGCGCCCCCGAAAGCAAGCAATTCTCCATGGGAGGACCCGGGAGTGCACCGTCGCAGCCGTGACACTCCAGTCAATAGCACCCCCGAAAGCAAGCAATTCTCCAGGCAATAACGCCATTTCAACCGCACCATTTCCCCGTCAATAATGCCATCGAATGGCGCCATAATCCTAATCAATAGCGCCATCTCAACCGTGCCATTTCCTAGTCACTGGCACTACTGAACCGTGACACTTCCCAGGTAATAACATCACCACAAACATATCACTACCGAGAAAATAACGACGCTGGAAATGTGACACTGTCCAGGTAATGACATCGCCAGAACTGTGCCACTTCGCTCGCCAGGCATCGACGCAAAACGAGACCACCCCAACCAGCATCATCCCAATCGCTACCACCACATCGACCGTGGCATATCCCAGGCAACAACACCACTGCAACCGTGCTTCTTCTCACAGCAACCGTGCCAGCTGCCACTACATTATCGTGACCATGCCAGTCACTGACCATACCACTACCATTCCATTCCCCTGACGATGGCGACGCCACAACCGCGTACTTCCCTGGCAATGACATCGCCGGAAGCGTGCCACTTCCACTGGTAATAACATCATCGCAACCACATGTGCCAATTCTCCGGTAATAGCGCTGCGTGGGAAAAACAATAACACCACCACATCCGTGATAATCCCCAGCAGGAACACCGTTGCACCCGTGCCAATTCTCAGGCGCCCGCTGTCGCCGTGATATTTCAGACCCAATCTGTAACAATCTCCTGTCAAAGCTAGCGTTTCCGCTCTGTCGCCGTTTCCATTCACTCGGAGACGGTGCGGAATTTCGTGCCGGCGGCGAGTTATTGGGATACTGTGTGACGTTCTGGAGAGCACTTGTCGGGCGGCGCGCAGGCACGGACCGGGACGAACCGCACAGCTCACGGGCGCGGGCGCCGATGGCAGGGACGCGGGGTCGGTGTCAGGGCCGCGGGCACCGGTGTCAGGGGCGCGGGCGCCAGTGTCAGGGGCGTGGGCGCCGATGGCAGGGACGCGGGGTCGGTGTCAGGGACGTGGGGGGTCGATGTCAGGGACGCAGGCGCCGGTGTCTGGGGTGCAGGTGACGGTGTCAGGGGCGTGAGCGCCAGTGTCAGGGACGCGAGCGTCGGTGTCAGGGACGCGAGCGCCTCCCCACATTTTGCGCTCGGTCAGCGCCGGCCGGACCCGACTCGAGCCGGCGAGGGCCGCTGTCCGGCTCGTCACCCACCGCGCCTGCATAACGATCCGGTCGCAAAAAGGGGCCGACGGCGGCGGCGGCCGACGCCGAGCCGCCGGCCGGCCGGCCGCCAGTCGATACTGGCCGGCCGGCGGCGATAATGGCCGGTCAGTGGAGCCGGACCGCTCTCCGGCGCGGCCGCTCACTCAGCCGGACCACTAGCCGCGCGGGCCGTCACTCATGCCCCACTACTTGGCTGGGGCTGGCGCGACCCCCGCGCATCGCGGCACGAGGTTGGCAGCGCACGCTGTACGAGATATCGACGCGGTTCTGAGGCATGTTTAGTTCATTCCGAGCAGTCACGACGGCGCGTTTGTGACGTTGTATGAAGGGAGTCCAAGTCGAGCGTAGAACACGTGCAACACGTAAACTAACCATGCGTATGTAAAATAGCACGTACCCTTGCTCCAGAATGCGTGTTGAAAACCACTGAAGCGTCCAGTCCAGACGCTGTGAAGTGGACGGGACCAGCAGCTCAAGTGTGTACCGAGTTCAGACGCTGTGAAGTGGACGAGGCCAACAGCTCAAGTGTGTACCGAGTCCAGACGCTGTGAAGTGGACGGGACCAGCAGCTCAAGTGTGCACCGAGTCCGGACGCTGTGAAGTGGACCGGACCAGCAGCTCCAGGATGTACCGAGTCCGGACGCTGTGAAGTGGACCGGACCAGCAGCTCCCGGATGTACCGAGTCCGGACGCTGTGAAGTGGACCGGACCAGCAGCTCCAGGATGTACCGGGTCCGGAAGCTATGAAGTGGCCGGACCAGCAGCTCCAGGGTGTACCGAGTCCGGACGCTATGAAGTGGACCGGACCAGCAGCTCAAGTGTGCACCGAGTCCAGACGACGTAACCGAGAAGTCGCTAGGTCGTGTACAGGCGCAGCGCACAGACACCGTGAAGCGCTGGGAGCCGCGGGGTCAGAACCGTTCGAACGACCGTAAAGTGGAAGGAACCGTTGGGTCTGGAGGACACGCGCAATCCAGCTCCGGAGACCAGGCGGGAGAGGGTAGCCACCAGCCGCCCGCAGCATCCCAGCGGGCCCGCGCCTCCGCCGCGCGCCACTCACGGTTGGTCCGCTTCTGGATGAAGCGCAGCTTGGCCGCGCAACGGTACGAGGCGAACCGGATGCCGTCGAACTCGGAGCGCAGCTCCTGCAGGATAGCGCGCGAGTCGGTCTGGCGCGAGCTGCAGGAGGAGCTCTGCTCGTCCGAAGCGCTGTCCATGTCCTCGCCTGCGGGGGCGAGCGGCCAACGTCAGTACAGTCGGTCCAAAAGTTCCCCTACAGCACATGAAGATCACTCCAGCGGCATAAAGAGCTCCCTTCATCGTCATCATCACTGGCTCCAGAATGACACACACATACTAGGGATATGCCTGATTTTCGAATCAAATTTCTGCAACATCAGAAGTTTCGTAAGCAATCACAGCTCAGCTCACCACTCCTACACCATCACCCATAAGTTCCAGAACGTCACACACAGCTGCTGATACATATTCGACTTCGTAAACCAAGTTTCTCCAGCCCACAAGTTTGGTTAGAAGATTAAGCTAGACACACAACAAGCATGAAGAAACGAAAACAAGGGAGTATTTCACGGCGAGCGTCCAAATGTTAACCCTACACCCACTCCCCTCATTGGTTAACATATCCTTGGCTACGGACCATGCAGACTACAACGTACTCTGTCGATCTTGATAACAGAGCATAGTTAGGCTCATATGTAACATTCCGGCCCATCATGTCAACCATGGCAAATTTGCTAGATGTTTGATGTCTGAAGAATGCACTTTTGATACAACTGCTCGTGTGCAGTGCCTTATGCGAGATTGTTACACTCTAGTCAGGAATGCTCTAGGCATGCGGGAGTGTCAAAAACTTGTACAAACGCATCAATACATTGTGCTCATGTGCGTGCGTGCGTGCGTGCGTGCGTGCGTGCATGCGTGTGCTGTATTTTGTGTGTGGCATGCATCATTCAGGAGGATGAAATGCGCCTAGATGCACTCATGTAAGCCTAATCGTAATGAAACGTGTATGTGTTGGAATTCATAACAAAACTGTATTTATATGAATGAGAAATACTTGCGTATAGCATTTCAAAGGACATGTAATATTTGATAGGTGTATATAAATGTGATAGGTGTATATATGTTGGTAAAAAACATATAAGGCGTGTTTGCGTCTTAGAAGATTAACTACTTTTACACTATTTTCTCCCGAGTGCTTTGGTTGGTGATGTGCTGTGGTCACGTGGTGCCGCGCGATATGCATTTGGAAAAACAAAATACTACGTTTTAAACCAAGACTGCTAGAGAAGGCTACGCAGACGTGACGTAACCATGGGACTTAAGTTTGGTAGCCCGCGGTAGCCCTATTTACATTGGAAAATAAATGGTTGCCAGATTGGAACAAAAGTGTGCCAATGACTGCGATCTCGGTACTTCTCTTCCGCAAGTGTTAGAAATCATCCAAATGTGTGCTAAAAGTACGTTTGTGCTTTTTACTTTACAACCAGGCTATCCAGCTGACTGCAATAACTAAAGTATCTTGTACTATATATATATATATATATATATATATATATATATATATATATATATATATATGCATATACACGTATGGAGAATATGGAATCTTGGAACGAATTCGTGCCAAGCTACCATATTCCATTTGGTAGCCTAGCCGTCCCGGGGTGAACGGCCTCACTGCCATATGGCCATTTTTATCGATTTTCATCCTTGAAAGCTCTTCACTGATAGGTCAGCTTTAGTTTCTGCTGCCAGGATGATGCTGGAAGCTGCGAGTGTACGTAGTATTGCTCAAGTTGTAGCTGAGAACATGAAATCGGCAAGTCCCGAAAGCAGGTAAGGTTTTTATAATAGTTACTTCAGTAACACAACAAAATGCTGCACAGCTTGACTCAACAAGGCCACGTTACCAGCAACGCTGACGCACAAAAATTAAAAACCCTACAGCTGGCCAGCTTTGGTGCCAATCTGGCAACATTTTCAATTTCCTATGTGAGCAGGGCTAGTGTGGTCTTTGGTTGATACTACGAAAAGGCTGGTAGATACTAGTCACGTGACTTAAAACGGCGTTTACCGCCGGTAAAACAGCGGTAAAAGTTGATTTCGCTATTGAACTGGATGGCATCCCTGTTCTACAACTTTAATTCATTGTTCTATGAATACATATAATCATTTTGCATTTCAACTCCTCGACGAAAACTCAATGCAAAGATCTGACTGCAAAAATAAATCCTACTAAACCACGTTTTCTGGTTGCAGCATCCACGAGGCCAACGCGCGTGACTATAAGTAGAGCGCTTTTGAAAAAGGAAAATTCAAAGGCAAATGAATAAATGTATAATGTAATACTTACATAAATTAATTTATGGGTAATGATAACGCATATACTTTTGCACCACAGTACCTATATGGAGTGAAATGTGAAAACAAGGTAGCATGACGAAGGCAGGTGCCAAGAATTTCGCTGTTGCTGTACTATGATCTTCCTAGGTGTTGGTTGAATTGCAGATCTGTAATGTTGGATGGGCTAGATCAAAATGGTGCGCAGAGAATAATACCCCCACCACCCTAAAATATTCCTTTTCGACTTTTTCGGAGCTGAGATGGGCCTCGCCTCTTTGAATGGCAGAAATTGCCATACTTGCCAGAAATCGGCCCATTTTGCCGGAAAATTATGCTATCTTGAACTGAAACGGTACATGCTGTATTTAACCCCCGGGGTCCACCACTCACTAACCCCATACGGGCAGGCCAACCCTGCATCCACCCTGACAACGCTCCGACTAAGGCGACAGGATATGCATTCCAACCTCTCAATACGCGTCCCAGGGTGCTGCGAGCCCGTCTGGCCCGCCGTATCTCATTTCCAACATATGTTGCTGTTGTTGCATGTTGTTCTCTGTTACGCAGACTGTTTCTAAGCACTCCTGCTAGAGTTCTTCGGGATAAATCACTGGTGAATGGGTAACCCCATCTGTCTGTCGGGGACAGGCTGGGATCACATTTCAGCAATAATATTGTGGCTCTGTTGCAAACCAACGCCATGTCTCAGCTGAAAATGTTTCATTGAATGTGCTAGGTCGAAGACAAGTAGGCTTTCGGACATATTTATGCTTAAACCAGTCCGCAAAGAACAGTGTTTTCACGCCGCCATAGCGTTGGTGCCATACGACTTAGTCCATCATGACGTCACAGCATCGCTACCCAGAATGCAGTAATGTGGGGCTTGGTTTTAAACATGTCTCTATTTTGCACCTCGACCAAGTGCTGTGAATAAAACATAAGCAGACATTTTGCAACTTCGCTCTCTTTTGCAACCCTTTTGCAACTTCGCTCTCGCTTTCTTCGACGAAAAAAGGGTAAGAGCTTTGGTAGAATACCACGCTAAATGTTCCAAACAACAAAAACACACATCCACCGTGTAATACGTCAGGTGGGCTGGAGCGAGAGTCTCGACACAAAGGGCCGGCCATCCGCGCCGGCGGTCGTTGCGCCTCTCCAGGGACGTTATCCGTACTGAGTCCGCCACCTCAGCAGGCACCACGCATTCGCTCGCGCCGCCCCTCACATTCTGACTGTTATACTGGTTCCTACGCCAACACCCATGTACGGAGAACGTTAAGTGTATGCATTAGGGTGTGTCATCGAGAGGGTAACTCTCTTGGAAACAACTGAGACAAAGTTGTTCCTTGGCACATGGATTTATAATAAACTTTCAGGTCTGTCACACCGCACCAATGTCGACATTCGTGACGCGAAGGCAGTTTTCTTCGATAGGCCAAGCCAATCGCATTCAATACTGCGCCACCTATATTACGTGCTGGTTGATCCTCCAACAAGCCCAATCTTGCCACTTTTCACGCTACTGGTGTCTGGTGGATTAAATATCAAAAAGATATCCCGAAGAAGACTAGTGAAGCATTGCCAAACAGCTACTAAGTTGGCTTTTTATTAAAGGATCAAAGATCGTTACCGTTGCTATCTGCAGTAACAGCGATCTCGCCCCAAACGAACACTCGGAGTCGTCGCCACCTTCTACCATGTACGGGGCCGTGTCATAATCCGTGCTCTCGGCCAACTCGCCAGCGCTGAGACCATTTGGTTCCGGTGCAGGTTAGAGTTCAGGACTAGCAGCCGACGCTGACTCGGCAGCCGGCGGGGGAGGCGACTCAGGTCCAGCAGCAGGCACAGCTTCACTGGCGGCTAAGCCAGTGACACCGCTCTGACAGTTGGCAGCTAATGGTTCGAACCGGGCCGCTGCTGTTATCATCAACACCTTCCATCAAGACAGCAGAGACGGACTGGCTGCTTTAAATCAAATATCATGGGTCCTTAGAAGATCTGGAGCGCAAAACACTGAGCGAGAAAGGAGACGTCTACTTAAAATGCTGAATCAATCCATCAGTCAGGTTTGACCGTCCTCTACTTCGACAGCTGTTAAGACATAACTTACATGAGCCACACACAGCCACGCGAGTGCCGTCGAAAAAGACGTGGCTGTCATCGCTGAGCCCGTCAGCCACTGCGTGACTCACTTCGCGCCCGAGTCCGGCCGCATCCTGTACTTGCTCGACGAGCCACACTGCGTGGGCCTGCTGTGCGGCCTGGCTGCTTGAGCTGGCCACCGAGTCACCTGTACACTGGTTAATCTGCCAACTGCGCGGCAACCAGCTGAACCTCCGCCACCTGCTGCTGAGTCCGGACAGCACGACTACAGGACCGAATTTTTCTGGGCCCATCGGCGCCTGAGAGGTCTGAGAGGGTGATATTGTGTCACTCGCGCCCTTGCCGGGACATCCCAAACCTACCGGTGTCCACCTGACACAGCAGCAGAGCACCGACTGGCAGCGGAGTTCGTTGGCTCAACCTTACTAGTTATTTGCTGATAGGCATTCCGTTACATTTACGGACTTTGAATATCGAATAATTACATACATTACAGAGGCGCAATAATTTCTGGCATGATGTAATACTTAGTTCGTGACGAATTGTTCTGATCTATTCGCTTTTGTTTCCAGATGGTTGACAATGGCAGCCTGCCTGCTCCTGGCTTACATATCTACCGAGACCTCCAGCACCGCTCTCAAGGACCTCGTCCGGTACGCGGTTGGCTGGCCACTACGTGCCGGCATGGTCCGCCATCCGGCAGAACAGCAGCTGCGACTTTGACTCACGCAACTCGTTCCGGAGCATCGCCCTACT